AATCACAATGTAGTTTTAGATAAAATAGTCTAGAGATCACTGCATTGGATTCTTTTCAAGGGCACTAGAACAAAACCATACCATAAAAGTATTTCACAAAATTCTACTGTAGTCATTTTATTTTGTTTAATACAATACTACAATACTATTTTTTTTTTATAATTTCAAGTAAATATATATCAATTCACATTAGGTCACTTAGTGAAAAAAAAAAAAAGAGTAATTATAAAATTAACATGTCATATCATATATCTTTGTACTTAAAATTATGTACATTTATTATTTTTTTTTTTATGAGGGTAGTACCATGACATGTTTGCGAGGATGAATTTAAGAGAAGGAGGACCAAATTCAAATACATTGTTAGACTGTATTTAAATTTCATCTAAATGCATTAACAGGCTATTTGAGAACACAAATTTGATACAATATATTTGAATTTCAACCTTCTAAATTCAATATTACTCTTTGTTTTTACATAAATAAAAGGTAATTAAATTTAGGTGAAATACATGCATTTCACTTGGGTAATTCAAAAGGGTAAAACTCGTGTATTTCAATTTCACCCTCAAACCCATGAATTTCGATTTCAAATTGAATTTCCTCTGCACTCTCTTTTCTCACCGACGACGATGAAGCCTCCATTGTCCGTCCATCATCTTCTCTATCGTTGCTCTCCACGTTCTCATCGTCAATCACTCACCACTCTACAATAGTAGGTTCTCGATCACGCACATCTACCCCATCTTTTGGATTCAAAACCCAGTAGTTTTCTACTTAAACTCAGTATTTTTGGTTGATTACAAATTAGTGTAGCTCAAAATTTGTTGGCTATGGACTTCTTTTTGTGGCTTGCATTTCCTTGGAAGAAATTGAAGGTACGTGTTGCATCTGCCCCATCTTTTAGATTCAAAACCTAGTAGTTTTGTGCTTAAACCCAGTATTTTTGGTTGATTATAAATTAGTGTAGCTTTTGTTGGTTGTGGACTTCTTGTTGTGGCTTGCATTTCCTTGGAAGAAATTGAAGGTATGCGTTGTATCTACCCCATCTTTTGGATGCAAGACCCAGTTTTTGGTAGAAATTGATTCATATGGGCAGAAATGGATTAGTTATTTGGAACTTGTTGTTTGATGTACATGAGAAATAGTTTTATCATATTATTTCATGTTCTAAGAAATTTGATATGGTTAGTTGGTTGTTTTTTTTGTCATATCTCAATAAGTTCCTGAACTAGGAGTAGCCAGTTTATACACCAAATCTCATTTCAATTAGGCATGCTAATGTATCAAATATGCTACAGAAGCAAAATACTTAGGTACCTTAAAGTGAATTGTTGCACCGTGAAACATGCTTGGCTTTGGTATACCTGAAATGCTTCACTTTAACAATTAATAACACCCAAAACATGGTTCACCACTTTGATGGTTGGTTTATCACATGCGCTCTCATTACCTAGCTAGAACACATGCTTTCTTTTTTTTTTTTAGACTGATTTATTTTCAAAGTTCTGTCTCTACTTTCCGTGTAGTTGTTTATGGTTCACACTGCTTATTTTTGAAGTTTTGGCTTTGCTTTCTCTTTGTGGTGATTTAAGGTTCACTCCATTAATTGGTTGCTTTCCAAATGCAGGAGCACATTATAAAGACTCACTTTGGTTCATCTCTGTTTCTGTGTTTGCAAACCAAGACAAGCCAGCCTTTGTTACCTATCCTAATTTAGCTTTAAATCGTAAGTGGCATATCGGGTTACTCTTAGCTTTTGTTCTGCTTCCAGCTTTGCATTATTTAGCATTTGACAGTGGTTTAGTTTTCTTTTATACACATGCATATAAAAATTGCTCTTCCAGTATGTTATTTCCCAATTGGCTAAAAAAATTATGATATTTCTTCCAAGTCCTAACTTATGAGATATTTATTTTCAAACTAAGGTCCATAAGAAAGTATATCCATCTTGGTCGACAAAGCTTTTAACTTGAACTAGAAGTTTAAATGCTTCTGAATTTCTATAATCACCAAGTTGTGTCATTTAGTGATAGCTACCTAGTTCTAGCATAAGCTTTTTATCTTATAAATATAAGCTTATGCTATTATGGAATCTAATTCTTTGATCTTGTCCTATTATCCAATTGGTTTCTCTAGCACAAGCAGGACATGAAATAGTATGTTGAAGATAGGTGAAAGCCTGCGTTTAGCCTCTCACCTTATTAAATTTGAAGGTTTTAGTCCCTAACCTTATACCATGACATTTTTAGCCCCTTACCTTACTAGATTTGTAGATTTTAATCCCTCACCTTATACTATAACACTTTTAGCCCCTCACGTATTAAAATTGAAGAAAATAGTCCTCACTTTGTAACATTTTATTAGTTCTATTAGCTAACTGTTAATTCTATTAGTTAACTATTAGTTAACTATTAGTTGACAAAAACTTTCTTTTAGCTAACAGAGTTAACAGAACTAATTTTATAATATTTCGTTAATTCTGTCAACTAGCTATTAGTTGACTGTTAGTTGACAAAAATCTATTTTCAACTAACAGAGTTAACAGTCAGTAAAAAATAAAATCTATTTTCTTCGGTTTTAATAGATGTGAGGCTAAAACTTACAAATCTAGTAAGGTGGGGGATTAAAAATGTCATAATATAAGGTGAGGGGTTAAAACCTTCAAACTTGATAAGGTGAGGGGCTTAATGTAGGTTTTTGCCATTGAAGATAAGCATACCACTCACATTTTAATGAATGTGTAGCAACTAGCAAGTTTCAATTTATTAATTCATGTTGAAGGTTGATTTCTAGTTCTATCATTCTTTTTTTTTTTTTGGTTCTAGGAAGGTTGAAGGTTGATTTCCAATTCTGTCAATTTATACAGTAAAAGAAAATGCTATGTTTTACATGCCTTTCTCGTTCCTTAGTGAGAATATATTTAACAGTGGACTGTCTTCCATTGTGGTTCGCTTATTACTTTTGTTTGGTTCATATTTGGATCTACATGTCAAGTATTTTGCTTAGCTTTTTTTTTTTTTTTTGAAAAAAAAAAAAAAGAATTTGTAGTTTTGGTTAACATAAAAAATGAATATATTGCCTCTATTTGGTTGGCCTCTTTTTTCCCTTTCAAGACTACTATGGTAGATCAAAGATCACTTTGTATTCTTAATTGGAACTTGTATATTAACTATCATCATAGTTTTATTTATTTTTAAACGATCATCATCATCAAAATATTGGTTTTTTCTTTACTCTCATTAATTTCTCTCTTCGCTTGTTACATTTCAGTTTTTCGATGGATATGGGTATCATGGAACATCATATGTTGAATATATATTATTTTGGATTTTGAATACTTGGTTCCTTTATGTTTGATTAGTTTACTGTTGATGATGTATGATATAGAATTTATTCCTTCTCAACTTTCAACCTTAACTCAGTTGTTTACTTCGAAGTCTTCAACGAAGAATATCATATTTTTATTTCATTTTACAATTAAAGAGTGTTACCTCGACTACCTTATTAATGAACATAATTATTCGAAGTCTTTAACGAAAAATTTCATATTTCTATTTTGTTTTGCAATGAAGAAGTGTTAACTCAACTATCTCGTTAATGAACATAGTTGATAATCATTTTAGATACTATTTTGTTTTTTTATTTTTTATAGTGAAATTCTTTCATGATAAATTCATTTTTGAAAAAATTGAATATTGTATGACAATGAAAAAAATGAACAAAAAATGGAGAATATGGTGACAAATTTATCAAAGGTCATTGTTCTTTTCTTTTCTTTTTTTTTTATCCAATTTGTTTGTTTTAAGATAATTTAAATAATATTTTGAAAGACTAAAATTGTTAACTTTGACTTTATTAAATTTAAATAATAATTAAAAGAAGATTTAATTTAATAAAAAAATTTAATTTTAAATGCATAATATTTTAAAATATCCAAATAATATATTTAAAAATACATATATTTGATATTTATTTTTTTTAATTCAATCCAAACAATGTATTTTAATTACACTCATCAAATTTAAATTCAAATTTCCAAACACAACCTAAATCTTGTATTTCAATTATATAAAATGCTTGTACTTCTTCTTCTTCTCTCACCTGAACAATGTGAGTTGGATGAATATCACGAAAATCCAGTTTCTGAAGCTTTTGCCGGTAGAGGATCTACCGCGAAGGGTGAAGGAAATTGGTTTTCCCGACTCGGGGATGGGAATATTCCGCCCCGCAACGGAAACTTCCACTTCTTTGGTCCATACCCAGGGAAGGCTAAGCCAATTTTTTTTCTAAATTTTTTTATTTTATTATTACTTTTTTGAAAAAAAAAAAACATAAAGATTCCCAGACAAAAATCGAAAAGCTACGATTAAAATCTATATTCCTCTTTCATAGTATATAATAGAAAAGCAGAGGGATAACGAGGAAACACGGTAACTTCAAGATAAAAAATCTCAAACATGAAACCTGGAAGAAAGATTGGTTTCCACTAGAACTCTTCTATTTTTGCTTAAAAACTCATCCAAAGGTCAACAGATTTCTCATAAATTGGCTGATAATCTTCCAAACGATTTTTATAATGGTTCCTCTTAATTAGGTTACAGAAACTAGTAAAGGACTTTCTACAAATAACCAATAGTATACAACAAGACAAGACAATATATGAAGTTCTACATCCGACCACAGAGAATTACCATACACCTTTTAATATGGCCACAGATCGATTCCACCAGGTTTCTTCACAAGGATTTGATTATATTCAGGGCGGGATGTCTGCAAAATAATTAATCCAACAGTGAGAACTTAATGATATAACCAACCACATAGGAAATAAAAAATAGTCATGGACAAAATTTAACGAGTCCTGTCATCAATGAGTTCATGTTACTCCAATAAAACCAGCTCTCTCCCCTCGTCTCTGCCTCAAATTTTAACGTGGTTGGATAGTTTGGCCCATCTATCAATATGGTATCAATGCTAAGTATATTAAAGTGTATGTTTAATGTTCAGTAAACAAATAGTTTACCCAAAACAAAAAGAACATATAAGTTCACATATATGAATGAACAACTTTACAACAAAAAGTGGAAAGTCTTGTAGATGAAAAAACTTGCATAGGAAACATAATATGAGAGAAACCTGCTGCGTCAAAAATTTTTCACCAGAGTTTTAAAAGGCTCTAAGTGAATTAAAGTTCAAATGCCTTCTAGAGCTTAAGGGAATGCTCCAACAAGTAAATAGCAGATATTAAAATCACAATACATAATTATATAACCTTTCTTTTTGGTAATTATATAACAACTGCAACAAAATTAACTAGGTTATTTTGTTAAAACAGAAAAGCCAGCTAAAAGAGAACAAAAATCCTCCTCTTTTTTTTTTTTTTCTTTTGGCCAATGAGAGCAAAAGTCCTCGAAAATATTGCCATTGCCAAAAGAGAACAAAAAATCCCACCTTCATCATTAGATTTTTACTTTAGATCATACTTCTAATCTCATTTGAATTACCTTCTTCTACAACTTAGATCAGCCTTGAACAAGAACAAACATTTGGTTTGAAAAAAGTGATAGCTTTACCAAAATATGGCCTTGGATTTGCAGAGAAGACATTTGGTTGTGTTGTTCAAGAAGGTGCATAAGAGAAAATAATTCCTCCCCTTTCTCTTCCTTATCCCAGTGATAGTATTTAAATGTAAAGAATTAACACTTTATTTTTACTATTAAATTCTAAAAAAAAAATAAAATGAAAAAAACACGAAACAACATTAGGCATGCTTAAGCACACCTTGCATTCAAGTTAAGGCAGCAGCACTTAGTTCATCTGTGCTCTGCTTTAGTCTTACTTAAGACGCATTTTCTCTCATTTTATTATTCAGGTTTGCTTAGCTTAGTTTCCCTCCCAGTTGCTACATTTTGCACTCCTTATCATTCAGTGCTACAATTGCACTTCATCCTATTTTGTAATGGAAGTTAAAAGGTGCACTTTGTTCTGCACATAATTGAGGTTCCCTATGCTGTCCATCTTAATTGCTAAATTTTGATCTTCATCATTTAGTGTTATTAAAAAGCACTTTTAAGGTGCAAAGTGAGAGACTTCATTCACCTTAAGTTCTTATTGATGAAGCAGAGCAAAGCATAGATGACGAAGCTTTGCTTAGGCTTAATAAGCACACTTGATTTTGTTCTTGACATGCCCTACATTCTAGTAGTCCATGGTTCATCATAGGGCATTCTCTCAATCTCAAACACTGGAAATCAGTTAAGTCACTCAAGGAGATAAATTTTACTTCTTATTGGATTCAAATTCATGGGCTTAGTGTTGATCAATTCGCATATGAGAATGTGGATAAACTTGGTAAATTGATTGGATTTCTAAGTTGAGAATTCAAATGTTAATAACATTTTGGGAAAGGGCTCTGTAACATGTCAAATTCATTTGATGTTGCTAAACCTTTGATTGTGGGGTTCAGGGTTCCTAATGCTCTGATTAGCTATGTCAACTACTATGAAACCTGCCGAACCTGGTCCTAAGTCTAAAGCCAAAAAGGAGATGGGGACCCACATGAGACTTGCTTATGTTCTCTGTTTTATTTTCTTGCGATACCTGACAGTTGGTTTAGCAGCTGCCCTTTCAAAGGAACTAAAGGACCATGAATCTATTGGCTTTTCCCTAGCTTTTTTATATGTGTTTTACCATTTAGTGCTTGGTGTTTCAATAAATGGATCACTGCCATGTCGTGAATTCAGTTGATCCCTTGAGAACTAGTTGGGATTGGCTCAAGTGGCAAGGAGTGAGGAAAATCTTGATGAAATGGAAGGTTCAAATCCCTCCATTGTTATTTGAGTGCAAACAATTCAAACTAGCCACACCTGCCACCTGTGGGCAAGGATTTGCCCAGTATCTATGGATAAGACAGTTTGCAGATACCTATGGGACTAGTCAAGCAAAAAGTCAAGATGCCCATGCTATCAAAAAGATTGATTACTTAAGGAAAGTAGAATCTGGTGGAATCCTCATTTTATCCAAAATGATAGCTGCACCAGAAATTGCATTGGTGCTTCTCTGGATGTCAGGCACTACTCATTACTCTTTCTATGCATCAGGATCTTGGTAGTGATGGTGCTGGGCTCGGTGCTTTGACTGCTTGATGGATTTTCTTATGCTGGACAATATTTGGAGCTCTGTCCTCAAGCTTATGTATAGCTGTTCTTTATTTCCTTGCTCTAGTAAGCTTGTTTGTAGCTGTCTAGATTGGAGGATGGGCAATGTGAGCCAATGGAGCCACCTTCCTCTATTTCTAAGGGTGTGTTTGGGATTGTTGTGTAGTGCTATGGCTATAGCTCTGGCTATGGCTGTCCAAAACTATGCTGTAGCTGTGGCTGAAAGTTATTGCGATATTTGATTATTTATTTTTTAAAAATATTATGGATGAAATATGGTAGATTTTATTAATTATTAATTAAAATTTTTAAAAGATTATAAGATATATAATTATTAAAATAGATAATATTTACTATTTTTTAATAATTTAGGTTTTTCAGATTTGTTATCATTATTAAAATATTATAAATTACGATGTAATTAGATTATATGAAGTTGGGTTTTAATGGGTAATTTTATAATTATATTAAATATAAGGTGCCAAAAAGCTCCAAAATGAGACTTCTAGCTTTATATATAAAATTACTGTAAATTTACTATGGCTTTTTACAGCTTTTAGAAAAAACAATCTGAAAAAAAATTACCAAACACACATATATCTAAAAGCACTATATGGCTACACAAAAAAGCTCCCAACCACAATACCAAATGCACCCTAAACATGTTGGCCGGAAGCTTACCATAGTGGAGTACAAGTTTTCTAAGTTCTTGTTTGATGGTGTTATGCATTTTTTCTTTCATTTCTCTAGGACATTTGATGTACTGAACTTGAGGCCATGTTTGGTGGCCATTCCCTAAGAAATGGTACAGAAACCACACCAACAAATAGTTTTTGGGGCTTGGTTGTTCTAAACTTCTAATTTTTGCAGAAAGACATTTCCACTTTTTGGCAGAAACTCCTTCCAGTCTTAGGGGTCCTAAACCCAAAATAATTAATCATGTTACCTATAATAATTGCACTTATGGTTAGTCAATTTTAGTGTAACTAATTATTTCCATTGAAATTTAAAAATAATCACTATTTTGAACAAAAAATGCATTTTTCCAGGTTAGGTTTGAAACTTGTACCAAACATAAGCAACCTTATTCCCTGCGTACCACTTACCTGGGAGAGATAGTGCTATCCAAGAAAACCTTATGAGTGGCAGCCATTTCCACCCACAAGGCAACAACAGTAAAGAAAAGGTAATCAAACAGGCCCTGAATTAATTTTCTCTAATACTATGTGTTATTGCCATTGAAATATGTACGTCTTTCTCCTCTTTGTTGTAATATTTGAACTATTTTCTTTTCCTTGTAAATAGTCACCCTTATCAAGGGATATTTACGTTGCACTCTCTTTTTGTCCACTCCTGGAACAAGATCCTTTGCGATTGCAACTGTTAACTTGTCACAATATCTTCATTTGGGTGTTTCTCTTTCTTCCAAGATTTTTCTAAGCCATATAGAATAACTTTTCATATTTCAACCTATGTCCCTATGCAATCATTTGAGATTCTAGGTTTTCTGTATGAACAATTGAGTCATCAACCAAACAAGCCTCAATAGAGAACCACTAGCAGAACCCAAGTATGTGGCTGTTAAATTGTTAAGTACTGCACTTTCCAAGCAAACAACCTAGACAATAGAGATGGGTCACGGTGCAAAAAATTTCTAGCATCAATTACTTAACTCAGAATAACATTGAAGTAGTAACCTGAAACAAACACTACACAAAAACAATTGAGAAAGAAATAGATAAACTCATAAACATGCAGGCAATTAAACATCAGAAAATTTATAAGAGAAACAGAAAACACCAGTAAAATAAAATTCATCAACATATATAAGTGAAATAAAGAAAATGAGAAGTAGAGACTAACCAGATCCTTGAAGACAAGGAAAGTAATGATGAAGAAGAGAAGGAAGAGGATCTCAAACTCAGCAAATTTGACAAATGCAAAGATGGAATTAACCGCTGCTGTCAATCCCCACTCCTGCTTCCTGCCTCGATTGTTCACCATTCGCTTTGCCATATATGATTCGAGGATCTTGCCTACAAACAGTCCAATTCAGGCGGAAAAAGCCACAAATCTCCTCAATCAAAATCTGAAGACGATATAAAGTCATCATAATCGGAAAAACTAATATCAGAAAAAACTAAACATATAAAAAAAAAAAAAAATTCTAAATTTACTCAATTCTTGCGACTCAACAAAAGGAAAACAATATCGGAAGCCATAAAGTAACAGAAACACGAGCTAA